CCTTCCCGCACCTTCCCGCACCTTCCCGCACCTTCCCGCACCTTCCCGCACCTTCCCGCACCTTCCCGCACCTTCCCGCACCTTCCCGCACCTTCCCGCACCTTCCCTTCTTCTCCACTCACAAAGGACTTTGATGGAACTCAGTTTTAACTCTTCTTTTTTCAGGACTTGAGCAGTTCTGACCTGATCCGGCCTCGGATCAGCCTGGTGTGCCAGGTCGTGCGCGTGGGACGCATGGAACTGAAGGATGGCAAGAAGCACACGTGCGGGCTCCGCAGGCCTTTTGGCGTGGCAGGTGGGGACTGCCTCCCCAGGGACACCCAGGAAAACCCCTGGGAGGACTGGGATACGGGTCTGGGAGCTGGGAAGTGTGCTGGGAAATGTGCCAGGGCCAGTATCTCTGCTCCAGGGCAGATTGTCCCTTCCAAGATGTCTCGTGAAGATTCTGGCTGGAGAGCAAGCGCTCGCTGCTGGCTTTTAACCTCTTTTAACCTGTTAAACTTAAAGGTTTGTTAACCTTTTAACAGGCTGCCACAGCTGCAGCAGGCTCATTAGGGCCTTATCAGAGTGGGATTTGCTCCTCAGGACTCATGGAAGATTTTAAAGGAACCTTAGTGAACCAGACTCCCAATTCTTATTTTATTCCTGGGATTTCTTGTGAAGGGACTTGCTTGAAAGCCTTGGTGGGAATCGATTTCCAAAGAAGCAGCATTTGGATATAAGTGGAATTTCCTTGCCTTGAAGTGCCTCAGTCCCACCTGGTTTTTCTTGGAGGGTGTATTTTGTCAGAGTGTATTCAGTATATTCACACTCACTGCTGTGGGCTGACCTGCACATTAATGTAAATGTGCTTTTAAAAAAATTAAAATGAGAGTGATGCCCTCCATTGCTGTCACAGGATCCCAGGCCTTTTTTAGGGGTTGGAAATAACCTTAAATCCCATCCAGTTCCCCCCCTGCCATGAACTCCTTCCTATCCCAGATCACTCAGAGCCCTTGTTCTGAGCGACACTGGCCCAAAATAGCCCCTTGTTGTTTCCATTCTGAGAGGGGAAAGCTCTCTCTGGGTTCTTGGCAGATCTGAGTGATGCTCTGGTGTCGTTGCAGTGATGGACATCACTGACATCATCCACGGGAAGGTGGACGACGAGGAGAAGCAGCATTTTATCCCCTTCCAGCAGTGAGTACTGTGCTCCAGAGCTCGCAGCACCTCTGGCTAAAGCCCTTCCTTTGGGAAGGACAGATCTGTCTGGGCGCCTGGCAGAGCCCCAGGGACTCTACAAATAGATCAGCTGATAGCAGCAGTCAGCTCTTTGCAGGGAGAGGTTTCTGTCACCCCCAGGAGCCTTTGTTCCGTTTTCATGGGTCTGTGGCAGACTCGATTGCCTAGGGACTTCGGCAGTGCAGCTGGAATTTCTGGGTACCTTCAGGGTGAGGAAGAGGAGCACAGAGCAAAATAATGTCCTGGGGCCTGGGGGGATGTGACTTGCAGAATTTTTGGGGGGGTGCAAGGCAAGATTTTCAGCGAGACTGAGCAGAGACACAGCTATTTGTCACTGCTGCCCCTCCCTTCCCACATTGCCTTGTCTGGGTCGGTCATAGGGAAGGGATTCTTCCCTCTTCCCGGGGAAGAAATTCCAGCCCCGATGAGATCTGCATTTCTGCTCTGAGAGTTAGACTTGTGTGTTTGTTCTGCCTGCTCTGCTTGCTCACTTTTTTTTGGCACATTAGAGTGACGAAAACTGAGCTTGTTTGGGTAGAGCTAGCCTTGTTGTTACAGCCCTAAATACAGCAAAGCATTGGCTGCAGCCTTTTGTTGTTACAGGGTATTTTTAGGGGACATTTGGGTTTGTTCCCCTTCCCTTTCAGGTCTTGGAAGGATGGCTTTCCCTTTGCAGAATAATGTTAGTCTGCTACTTTTTTTTTTTTTAATTGGTTATTTATTTATTTGTTTAGGGGTTTTTGGTTTGTTTGTTTGTTTTTTAATTGTTTTGGTTGGGGTGGGATTTTTTGGGATTTTTTTTTTTTGCTTGTTTGTTTGATTTGGTTTTTGTTTTGTTGGTTTGGGTTTTTTTCCCATTTTAATTCTGTTCTAATGAGGCTGAGTTCCGACCCCCAGCTGGACGCCAGGCTGGGCAACCTGTGGAGACCTCATTTCTCCTTCATTATTGAGGCTGTGGGTACAGGAGTGAAGTCAGGGTCAGGGTCCAAACCTCAACAGTCTTGTTTGTGACTGGGGATGGGTTCATCACTTAGGAGTTGTCACAGCAGTCATTAATTTATATTAATTTATAGTACTTTTCCAATAGTTAATCTGCATAGGGGCAACTCTGAGGCAAGCTTGAAGTCAGGGCTTAAATTCTGAGGTCAGTGTTCCTTACCTTAGGCCTGAGGGATAAACTGATGCATCTCCTAATGGGAAGGTTTAAAAGGATTCTGTGCAGGTGAAGGAATGAAAATCCCCTTGGAATCCTTGAAAAAACCCCCACATTTATTTGGTAAACAGCCGGCCATTGGCCAGCCCTCTCTTCGTATGTGGTTGGTGTCTGTCCCAGTCCCTGACCCCGTTTTTTTGGGTCCCCTGCCCAGGATTGCCATGGAGACCTACATCAGGCAGCGCCAGCTCATCATGTCCCCCCTGATCACCTCCCATGGCATTGGCGAGAACGAGCCCCTCACCTCTGTCTTCAACAAAGTCATCGCCGCCAAGGAGGTCAACCACAAAGGCCAAGGTGCAGGCTGGGGGGAACCCGTGCTGGGGGAGTTCCCAGGGGAATAAATGGGTGCTGAAAGTCTCAAGATCAAGGTTTGGTGTAGTTTAATCCCTTCCCCGAGCCCACTGCGTTGTCACTTTGTCCCTCCATCACGCACAGAGCTAAAATCTAAGTGAAACCAGACAAAACTTGCATGAGAGCAGCTCCTCACTTGCTAGTCATGTCACTTTAAAGGTGACATGCTTTAAGGTCACTTTAAAATAAAAGTGTTTTATGGATGTGAAATATTTGTAAGTGGATGTGGCTGTGTGTCCCAAACGGCTTTGGGGTTAAATCACATTATTTTGGATTTTTCTGGCCTTCCTTGGCTCCAAGACACTCAAGATTCAACTCTGAAAGTTCAGGGTTTACTTCAGAGAATCTTCTTGCACAGCAAAGCCTTACTCAGATTCAGGGACATGGAGAACTGGGCAAGAGAGAACCAGGTGGGGACAAGGAGGTTTCATGAAAACACAGATTTTTTGGAAGGACAGGCTTAAATTTCACAGGTTTGTACCTTTTTGTTTTTAGTGAACAAGTGTCATTTCCTTTTTCTTAGGTCTATGGGTCTCCCTGAAGCTGCTCCCTGGGGATCTGGCTCAGGTTCAGAAGGATTTTTCCCACCTTGTAGACAGATCCACTGCAGTGGCTCGAAAAATGGGGTTCCCTGAGATCATCCTTCCTGGTAGGTCCCATGTGCCTCCACATTCCATGGAGTAAAAGAGCTGCTTAAACTCTAGAAATTCTCTCCCCAAAAGATTTATTTATTTAAAAAAAAAAATAAAATAAAAATTTCTTTTTATCTGAAAACTTTTTATTTTTCTTCAAATTTCCAGGTTATTTTCTTGGTTTTTTTTGTCACAAGCAGTTGAAAACATGAGTTTCCTTTCTTATGGCAAAATGATGGTTTATGGAGAAAATGTCGCTTTAGTCAAAGGAATTTTAGTTGTGTAGGGCTTTAACCCACCCATTCAGAGTGGATTTAACACTAGAGAGCTTGTTAAATAAAAAAGAAACAAAAGAAAACATAGGGACAGAGGTTTGTAGAAAGAAAAATGGTTCATTTTAGAAGATTTTGTGTCATTTGAGATGGAGATGAAAATGGTGCGATGGTGGGTGTTGTTAATTAAAGGCTGAAAGGAAAACAAGGATAACATGGTACCCAGGGGCATTAACTGTTAACCTGGGAATGAGAAAGCAGCTCATTAAACGCTGGGAATTGCAGGTGACGTCCGGAATGACATCTACGTCACCCTGATCCAGGGTGAGTTTGACAAAGGCAAGAAGAAAACCCCCAAGAACGTTGAGGTCACCATGTCCGTGCACGACGAGGATGGCAACCTGCAGGAGGTAGGACGGCCTCTGGCACCCTCTGGAGATTTACCACCCAAAACACTCCAGATTTACCTTTCTCCCCTACCTGTGCCTTGTGGTTTTTGTCCAAAGAAAGCCATCCACCCCGGGGCTGGCTACGAGGGAGTCTCGGAGTACAAGTCTGTGGTTTATTACCAGGTCAAGCAGCCCTGCTGGTACGAGACTGTCAAGGTACGGCTCTGTCCATGTTCTTCCTCTGGGCACAAACCATTGCTGGTGTAAAACCAGCAGCTCCTCAGCTCCAGGATGTGCTGGGGAGTGCCTGGGGACGGGGGAAATGCCATTTCCATCCCGTTCTCCCTTGCAGGTAGCCATTGCCATAGAAGAAGTCAGTCGCTGCCACCTGAGGTTCACGTTCCGTCACCGCTCGTCCCAGGAGTGTGAGTACCAGGAAGGGACTCACCTGCAGGATCGCTGTGCTCCTCCCACTGAGTGCAGAACTTGCATTTCTGCTTTTTCACTTATTGCTCAGTTTACTTATTCCCAGTTTTGTGGCAAGCAAAAACCCAAAAATCATTCAAATTTTTTGCACCCCAAAGTTTGGTGCAGGTTTTGTCCTGAAACTGAAATTTGATAAGGAGCCACATTTTATCCTCCCCCAAAAGGCAATTATCAATGTTTGTTATTGCTTTGGTTTCTCAGTGTAGGGTGTTTCTTTCAATTTATTTCACAAAATTCACTACAAGGCCTGGTGGGCTTGTCTTGATCTTCCTATAGGAGGATTTCTATTTAGGCTAATGAAAGGCTAATGAGAGGGTTGGAGCCAGAAGTTCCATCAAATCACTTCAGAGCCCTGAAATGAGATCAATAATGTGAGGCTCAGCCACTGGAAGGCTCTCAAAGGCTTCTGGTTCTGAAGGCAGTGACATCCTTCCACATCCACAGCTCACAAACCAATCTCCCAACCAAAAATATCTGTAGAGTTCAATATCAGAGGATTGTGGAATTGTTAAAGTTAGAAAAGACCTGGAAGATTAAGGAGTCCAACCATTAATCTCTCGGTGTATCAGCACAAAAACCACTAAAACTGTGTGTGGGAGATGCTCCAGGAGGATGTGTTTGTGCAGCTGCCGTTACCTGTTAAATAAAATGAAGTTACCAGTTAAATAACTCTGCTGATGGGGTTAGAGGGCTGCATTTTGGATTGTGTGGACACGAATAAGACAATTGCTGATGAAGATTTCTCCTGTTTGCAGCCAGGGATAGGTCTGAGAGAGCTTTTGGCATGGGCTTTGTGAAGCTGATGAATGCAGATGGAACGACGCTGCAGGATGGCAAACACAGTTTGATCATTTACAAGGTAACCTGGGCATTTCCAGCCTTGTCTCATATTTAACTCATCAAAACTCTCCCCTGGCTGATTTTCCAAGCAGTAGAAAGCTGCAGAATGTGTGTGGGGGGTGGGAAATCCTCCTAAACTCCGTGGCTTTGCAAGTAGCTCAGATCATTTGTAGTATGGACAGCTTATCCCTGAAATCAGAAACTCAAACAATGAAAGAGATGAAAAAGTGTTTCAAACCCATTCTGTCACTGTGTGACCCTTCTCTCTGCCATGTCCATCCAACAGGGTGACAACAAGAAAATGGAAGATGCCAGGAGTTATTTGACCCTTCCTTGCACCAAAACAGAGATGGAGGAGAAGGAGCCTCCCTCAGGAAAAAACCTGTACCCTCTGGCCAACTTCACTCCCACCAAGGATAGCACCAAGGACAGCTTCCAGATCGCCACCATCATCTGCTCCACCAAACTCACCCAGAATGGTAGGGCTCGTTCTGGGGCTCTGAAATACACAGGGCATTTTCTTCAGGCAGGCTTTTGTGTGTGGGCAGAGAGCTTCAGGTTTCATTTTGCTGCTCGCATGTCAGTGGCAGCCCTGTCCTGTCAAGCTGCCAGAACAAGCTCCCAGAATGTCTGTGCAAGCCTTTCATGCAAATATTTGATCCAGACTGCCAACGTTAAACCCAAAAAGTTTGCTGGCATGCGTGGAAATGTCACTGTCACTGACAGTGTCTGTGTTTTGTCACAATTTTAAATATTTAAGGTTGATTGCCTCCTTTCCTCTGCCTGTTAAGAGAGCACCAGTTAGGACTGAGCTCTCCAAGGTGATGATGTGCAGTAACTCTTCTGTGTTGCCGAAGGGATCACGATGAGGAGAGATACGTGCACGAGCCCAGCCTGTGCTGGTAAATGATGGGAGACTTCCAGTAGCTCTGGAAGGCTCCTGGGCTAAGTCATGCACTCTAATAAAATTCCTGGCTTGAGATACCTGCTCTTGAGTCCATAAAATCTCCTGCAAAATGGTCTCCAAATGTGCTGTTGGATGGCAGCCAGGTTTCCATTTATAGTAGAGCTTCTCTCTCGTGCCAAGACAAAAGAAAGTTACCTCAAGGTAACGTTCTGTACCTGAGGATGACTTTTCCTTGTGTACTGACTCTAAAAATAACACCCAGCATTGCTGGGGGTTGCTCTGCAGCCTTGCAGGCAGCTGGAAGCTGTAATTGCTACTTGCTGCTTTGTGTCCTTGCAGTTGACCTGCTGGGTTTGCTGAACTGGCGCTCCAACTCCCACAACATCGCCCACAACCTCAGGAAGCTCATGGAGGTGGAAGGAGGAGAAATCGTGAAGGTATTCCCAGGGATCTGAGGCTCCTTGGCGCACAGACTCTTGTGTGTCAGGCTGGTGTTGGACCCAAAAACTATCTGGCTGGGTTGGGAGTCAGGTCTGGGTGCTGAGCAGTGGGAGAATTGTCAAATCATGGAATGGTTTGGCTTGGAAGGGACCTTAAAATCAGCTTTTTCCACCCCCTGCCAAGGGCAGGGACACCTTCCACTGTCCCAGCTTGCTCCAGCCTGGCCGTGAACACTTCCAGGGATAGGGCAGCCACAGCTGCTCTGGGAACTTCTGTTCCACCTCTCATTAGTGGAATTCACCAGAATTACAGAAGTTAAATATTACAGGGATCAAGGAGAGGGTGGTGACTTTATTTTCCCCTTTATCCTTATGAAATAAGAAATACATCCAAAGCCTAACTTTTAATTTTCAACTCCTTTGTGAATGAGGAGGAACTAGCTGTGAATCTGGGAGCAGAGACAGCCCAGAGATCTCATAGAATACTGCAGGGAGTGGGCCAGAAATGGGGGCATTCCCGCAGAAGATGGTCTGCTGAAGGATTTGGGATGAAATCTTACCTGCAGAGAGGAGTCCCAAGAGTGACTGTGCTGGGATTGTGCAAGGCTATGTTCTTCTGGAGCAGCTGAAGGTGAAGTTGGTTCTGTGTCACTGCAGACAGGCTGAGTGCCTCGGGACAGGGCCAGGCTGCTTTGGAAAGATCAGCATTTTTATCCTGTGGGCTGAAAAGGCCATAAAACAGCAAAGTGGGGCTGTTCAGAGCTGAGGAGAAAATATCTTCTTTACTACAGAGCCAATCCTGACAATCCTGTGCAGGAACACAGGGCTGGGATCCCTTTTAGATGTTCTCTCATGGACAAGTTTTACAGTTCAGCTGGGCTGGAAGGGGAAGAACAGTCTAGCTCATGCTCCTGTGCGGGATGCCAGCAGCAGCTACCTTTCCCCACCCTTTCACTGTTCCTTTTCCCCTCTAGTTTTTGCCAGACACCCTCGATGCACTTTTCAACATCATGATGGAAATGTCAGAAAATGAAACCTATGATTTCCTGGTGTTTGATGCCCTGGTGAGTGAATCTTTGTTTTCAGCCACATTCCCAGTCTGTTCCTGGTGATTCCAATGAGCAATTGGTATTTTGCTCTTGAAATAAATGATATTTAAGCACTTCTTACGGCTTTTTCAGGAGCCAGGACTGAAATACACATCAGGTTTTTAGCAGCCACAGTGAAAAGAGTAGTAAATTGCCCACACACAGTGTTTAGTGACTGTTAAAACATGAATAACACTCCCTGTAGAATTAATGCTGTTGATAAAACAGAAATGATAACCCAGCAAAAGAAATTGAATTAGAGACTGTTCTATTTGAGTTACTGTGCAGCTCTGTGCATCTGTCTCCTTCTGGATTTTTGCCAGGTATTTATTATTTCTCTGATTGGAGACATCAAGTTCCAGCATTTCAACACCGTGCTTGAGACTTATATTTACAAACACTTCAGTGCAACCCTGGCCTATGTGTGAGTATTGATCCTTAACCTCAGGTGTCACCCAGCAGTGTGACTGAGGGCTTTGGGGATGAGATCAGCTCTTGCTGATGTATTTGATGAGGTAATTTTTGATGATGTGAATGTGACAAAGGTAGCTGAGAGCAGAGTTCCATCCTTTCTCTGCGTTCAGGAGAGAAAGAATCCTTCTTATTGCTCTTTTTGTCCTGTAAAAAATCCTGGTGTGAGATTTTTTTTCTGTCAAAGCAGACAGAAAAGACACTTCTATCATGGGTTTCCATCTTTCCAGCCCCTTGATCAAGCACCCCTCAGGCAGAGGTCATCACACTTGTGGTAACGGAAATGAAAAGTCAAAACCAGGAACCAAACTGCTTTTCCTCTCTAAAAATCTCCCCTCAGTTTTTAGTGATCCTCATGAATTCCTGGCTGTCACCCTAAAGGAAACACAATTTGAAGTCCCCTTCTCCTACAACACCTCCTTCCTTTCCTTTCCTTTCCTTTCCTTTCCTTTCCTTTCCTTTCCTTTCCTTTCCTTTCCTTTCCTTTCCTTTCCTTTCCTTTCCTTTCCTTTCCTTTCCTTTCCGCACCTTTCCGCTCCTTTCCTTTCCTTTCCTTTCCTTTCCTTTCCTTTCCTTTCCTTTCCTTTCCTTTCCTTTCCTTTCCTTTC